CCTCAAGAGCGCATGGATTCCTGCGATCGCCACCGGGACATCCTGGATGCTGGACAAAGTGGCCTGGCCTCCAATGCCAGCACATGGAATCTCTGGACCGTCGCGAGGAACTTCTTGAGGACGAAGACCGAACTTCTGAAGTTCCCCTCGCAAAGTCTCGAAAGCTTGCTGGCCGATGACTGCATCTTCCGCAGCCGTGTCCACGATGGCCTCGAAGCCCTTCACCTTGACGCCAGCAAAGATTGCGATGGTCCTGCGGGCCACCGTTTCTTCGGACTTGCGGGTGGTCTCGATCTTGTGCCAGGATCCGGTAGCAGCCTGCATGTAGACTTGGCCGCCTCCACCTGATCCCCGAGAGACCACGAAGGAAACCCGACGGTCTTTTCCAGATCCTTTTCCTCCACCACCACCTTTCAACGGGCAGTCGCGCGCATAGTGACCTAGCTCGTGGCAGTTGAAACACTTTGTCCTGCTTTGCAGCTCCTCCGCCGTTCCTCGGATCATGCGTGGCCCACCTTTCCTCGAGAAGCCCTTGAAGCCTCGTTGGCGAGCAGGAGAGCCTTTTCGACCAGTTCCCTTGGATCCTCTGGCCGGTGACCCTTTTCGAAGAGGGCCCGTCTTGTTGTGTTTTATGAACCCTCGTTCTCGGCGGCGATCTCGAAGGTCTTTTCGCACATCGGCGTAGGCGGAGGCATATGCAGAGTGGTACGCCTGGATGTACAACGACTCATCTTCGTCGTATTCCCGGTCCTCGAAGTAGAGCTCGGATCCCTCTTCCTCGTCCTCCTCGTAGTCTTCCGCGTAGAACTCGTCTTCATTTTCTGGCTCATCATCTTCGGGAGGATCAAGAGGTTGATCTTCGGCTCGTCCTTCTACATGCATGACCGGGAAGTGCTTGGCTGCAGCACTTCCAAGCTCTGCTCCAGCAGCCTGTGCCAAGAGCTCCGGCCTATCCAGTTGCCTCAACATCGTCGCCACCTCGTCAAAGGACATCAGAGCACTGTTATCCTTCAGACTCACCAGCTCCCTCTGAAGCTCGCTCATGTGAGCCTGGCGAAGCAAGACCCTGCCTGCCACCTTGTCGCTGAGCCTCTCACCAAGGTGGTTCTCAAGGTCCTGACGAGCGACTTCCTTGGAGGCAATGAATGCCGCGAAGCTCTCGCCTTTTTGTCTATCTCCGGCGTAAAAGTATCTGTCCACGCTGGCTGGTCCGGCGACTTCAAGAAAGGGGCGGTATTTGGCCATCAAGGCCGTGAGGACCTTGTCATAGCCAGAAGTCGAAAGGAGCTCATTCATCGGGATCTGGTCCGAGATCTTCCTTGGTTGAGAACCTTCCGGAAACGACTGGTAAAGTCTTAGTCCCCACTTCTCCTTGGGCACTGTCGTCTCTGCTTCCCAGCAAGCCAGGAGCTTCAGCCAGCTTCTCAAGGTATTCGGCTGACCACTCCAGCTCGGGATGGCTTTCTTTTCGCCCGTCAAGGCAGCTATGAAGCGCTCCCCTTGGTCTGGAACTGACAAAGGGGCCTTTGGAGGAGATATCCCGAGCATGTCGAAAGCCGAAGTCACTTTGGTAGGTGAAGTAGACGACTGTCCTATTGGGCTCAAATTGTCTGCCATGGCTGCCGCTAAGGTAGGCGGCAATTGCCTGTGTGCATTGGGCTCATTCGTAGGTCCAGTAGACGCCGTTGTGGGCAAATTCCCCGCGAAGGCCGTAGAGGGAACAGTCGGACTGGTCGGAGAGGTAGTCCACCATGGAGGGACCGCGTTGAGGTTCGAGGGGTTGTTGAAGCCACTTGGGAAACCCAAAGAAGGTGCCGTAGCCAAGAAGGGAGGCCTCAGGCCGCCCTGCATAGGACCTCCGAGTGAGGTCGGTTGGTTTGACCAAGCTGCTCCCGCCGCCCACTCACTTGGTGAGGGAGCGCCACCTCGAGCCTGACCGTTAGGTGAGGCGACTCCACCCATACCTGGTGGTTCCGACGCTGTGGCTTCGCGACCACTTGAAGGAAGCCATGTGCCAAACGTGCTTGACAAAGTGCTCACTCCTTGGGGGTGGGCACGCGAATCACTTTCAGGTAACCGTCGCGAAGCATCATGTGGTAGTCCGTCATCCCCGCGCAAGGAGCGCGCTTGCCTCCGATGGAGGTAATCCGCCCAGGGGTCCATCGTTGGATCTAAACCTGGCTCCGGTGCCAACTGATAGCAAACCGGCTACGTATGGGCACTCTTTTCTTACCCTGCGCAGCATAGAGACTCAAGCGCTGCGGCGGTTGCATGTGACTGCGACAAAACTCTCACGGCAGAGGACATGACACCTAAACTGGTTTGTCAAGCTGGTGCAACAGCAACAGCACAAACGGCAGCAACAACAACAACAACGACAACAACAACAACAACGGCACCGACAGCAATAGCAAGAGCAGAAGCAGCAGCAGCAGCAGCAGCAGCACCACCACCACCACCACCACCACCAGCAGCAACAGCAGCAACAGCCGCAACGACAGCAGCAACAACAACAACAACAACCACCACCACCAACAACAACAACAGCTAAGAAACAACAGCAGCAACAACTACAACAACAGCAACAAAACCCAAGACCCACACCGCCCAACGCCCAACACGAAACACCAAAAACCAACACCAACACCACACCACCACCACCACCACCACCAACAACAACAACAACCACCATAACCACAACTGCAACCACAACCACAACCACAACAGCAACAGCAACAGCAACAGCAACAGCAACATCAACAGCAACAGCAACAGCATCAACAAGAACACAAGCAACGGCAGCAGCCACAGCGAGAGCAAAACGGCGAGCAAGCAAATGAGAAAAGCAAGCACGATAAGAAGCAAAGAGCAGCGAAAAGAAGTTGATTCAGATGAAGAAGCCCTGCTAGACTGTACAAGCAAGAAACTCGAGACATATGCACGCCGACATACACACCGTGGAGTCTGGTCAACCTTGCTACTAGTTTTCTTTCTAGCAGCGCCCGGACCACCCGTTATTGTATAGCTACAACGGCTAGACTGCTTCTGCTAGAGGTGTGGTGGCGGTTCTAGTGGCAATTAGACGCATCAGCCAGCTGAAGCAAAAAGGAGTAAGCGGTGGTGGTGGCGGTGGTAAAACAAGTAGCAGCAATAGAATAGAAGCAGGAGGGGGGGTATTCGGGATGGAATGTGCAGCTTATTTGGAAGTCGAAGCCAAGCCGCTCGATATCGCGCAAGTCGAAGACTGCCGTGTCCGAGGTAGCCTGGCGACATGCACACAGGCTAATCAGGAGTTTGGGCATCAGGCTCCTCAACTTTGCCTGCCGCAAGTAAGTCTGGATCGCAATGCAGACAAACTGAGTTACTGAGCAGGGTCATCGGCTAAAACTTCAGGACAAAATGCCACAGAAGCTGGAACGCTGGATTGCGCGAACCTTCAAAAATTGAAGCGCTTCTGCTGCGCTGCAGAAGCTCTACGCAGACTTTCCTTTTATGATCTTATGTACATACACATACGTACACACGTGTCACATGTGAGTAAATACATACGCACATACGTACATACATAAGTACATAAATGTCGACATACATACATACATACATGCATACATACATACATACCTACCATACCATACATTACATTACCTTACCTTACGAGCCTACATACATACGTACATACATACATACATACATACATACATACATACATACATGCGTACATGTATTTGTGATCTTGATCACGCGCCTTCGGTGTGAGGATCGACCCCTTGGACTTGGTGACGGCCAAGACAGCGGGGCGATGCTGCCTACAGAGCGTAAACTTGCTAGACGCTGGGAGGGCTGTGGGTCTAACGCTCACAAATCGTATGGTGTTGCGATCTTCGGGCCTGCGGAGGCTCCGAGCGATACATAGGGTTTTCATGACCCGGAAACTGGGAGCTTCTGAAGGGAAAGCAATGTAGCAATGATGAGGAATAGTAGTGGCACTGGCGGCAGCAATAAGCAGAAAGAAAGCAGTAATAGCTCCAAGCAATAATGAGACGGGCAAGTTGTACTATTGTACCCACACCGAATCCTCACAACATGAGTCACCCTCATGGATATCATCATAAGTGCAAAGATGAGACGTCACGGATATGCGTCCAAAAGTACAGTAACGGCAAAGCCAGTAACGGTAACAGTACTAACTGAAATAGTAGAATGCAGTCAGTGGTAATCAAACTCAGAATTTCATGTAGAGCGTTGGCCAATGTACATGTCAACAATGAACAACGAATCCTGCTAGCTTAGAAGCATTGGCGTAGTAGCTGCAATACTGATAGTAGTAGGAGGAGAAGCATTTGCAACAGCAGCACTGCAGAAGATGATGGCGACGTCATGACCAGACTCGGAACTGAAGTAGTCATCACCTTGCTCATAATCATAATCACCACAAGAAGATCAAGAAGAACAAGAAACTTTGTAATACTCCTGCAACTGACCTGGCCTTGGCCGTATCATCGCCATCTTCTTGACAGGAGACGCAGGACCATGGCTCAAAGGCTGCGGCTCTTTGGGCTTCCGGGATCCAGGCCTCTAAAGCTTGTGGTGTCTACGGTGCTGGGGTTCAGGGTCTCGGGGTCAGGGTTTATAGGGTTTAGGGGGCTTGGGTGCTGGGGTGTTCAGGCTTAGGGGTCAGGTGCGTCTGCTCAACGTCTTCGATGCTTCTTTTGGCCGCTCGGGAATTGTGCGGCAAGTCACTGTTGTTGCCCATGTGGGAGTGATGAGTAGGTACTCGAGCCCGGAAGAAAGTGGTGAAGGGATGGAAGGCGAGGTTTGAGCTTACCTGCGCTCAAGTCTCTGTCTCTGAGTGTGTCACATGCTAGCACTAAGCTTCAGGAGGACTAACATAGCCGTGTAGTTGAGAACTGCAGACAAGAAGTATCTAGCTGGTTCGGTGACTAGCAGCAATGGAAGCCAATTGAAACAGCAGCAAAACAAGATCTGACTGTGCGAGAGGCTTGTCTGCGGCAGCATTGCTGCTCGCCTGACTCGCCTGCACAGCAAGGTTCCACCAAGCTTAGGTCACCGTTCGGACTGCGTGGGCATGACCATCTTTGCCTAAAGCAGCTTGGTACCTCTGAACTGTCCTCAAAACGGACTGCTCAACTACACAACTACCTGGAACCTGCGCGCTGTCGCCACAGTCTCTATTCATTGGACACTGGAAGTTGGGGTGCTTGCAAAGACAGATATACGTATGTGACCACTGTTTGGAAAAGACAGGTAATAGCAAGCAAAGCTAGCAGTTCTCAGCCGTACGAGGAGTTTTGATGCAATGGTGATGTAGAAAAGTGCGAACTGATTTCCTGCACCTGCTCCACGACAGAAAAGCGAATACTGCCACTTGCCCCACCCGCACTGACATGTGCCACATTGCCGGCATTTAGGGTCGGTGCCCGTGCGTTCCGGAGAAGGGGCTTGCTGCTTGCCCCAGCCCAAGGATCCAAGCGTTCGTGGTCTTGGGGCGTTACAGGGCGGGAAGCAGGGGTGGAATGCGGTGAGCCGAGAGGTCCGGAGGAGCACTCGCAACTTGTCACGCTCGCCGTTTCAACTTGGGCAAGCGGGTCATTTGAGTTGGTCAACCTTTCCAGGGGCAAGTGGAGCAGCAGGATAAGGCGAATGGATTTTCCCGACCTGCTGGGGGAAAGTAAAGCAAAGCAAGCAGAGTGAAAATGACAACTAGTAGATCGAGGTACCGGCAAGTGAATTGACCATTGCCGCATGAGCAATACTACTCCTCATGCCTGCCATCATTCTCATTTTCGTCATCGTTTGGAAGTGCAAGCTAGTACTCTACGGAGACTACGTTTAGCCGCCTCCGTGTTGCCGCTGCCGGTTTCTGCCGGCACCACCGTAATAGAAAGCTCGGCTGGCCCATCCCGTGTCCGGCGACTGACGCTGGCTTTGGTGAGGTTTCGGGGTGGAGAACAACATTCCGTGATGTCTGTCGCTTCGTTCGTGTTTTGTACTGAGTGCCAATCACAATGGCAGTGCAATCTTGGTGCTGATGCTCACACTATGCCAAGAAGTATCATCTCCGGGCTCAACGGCACCACGTGGCACAGACTTGTACGTGCACCTTAGACAACCCTAAACAATCCACCCTAAACTCTCAGCCCTTCACCCTAAACCCTAAACCCCAAACCCCTAAACCCCTTTTTCAGCATGGGCTTGGATTGTGTGCCAGCGAACCTAAACCCCTAACCCCTAAACCCTAAACCCTAAACCCTGAACCCTAAACCCTAAGCCTTAGCCTTAAGATAAACCCTCACCAGGCCTCCGGGAGCCGGCCGAATCTCCGTCGAGCGATGAAGCGCACATGGCGGGAGCTCATAAGCGGAAACCCTAAGAGGAGGGGTTTAGGGATGCTTAGGGGTCCCCTTAAAGGGTTAGGGGTTTAGAGTTTAGGGTTTAGGGGTTTAGGGGTTTAGGGTTTAGGGGTTTAGGGTTTAGGGTTAGGGGTCCCCTTAAAGGGTTCCTTTCGGGTTGTATACAACGGTTTCATATAGGCTATAGGGGAAGCTGGGGACTATATGTCAGGGCTGAGGCAGAATACTGAATTCTCTGCCAGCAGCTCTATCTAGTGGCATGGAAATCGACTGACACGGTCACCTTGTTCATGATGCTGCGTTGCTATCCTTGCGAATCCCGCCGTTGCTAGCAACTGCCTCAAGATAACGAGGTGAGCGGAGTGCCTACATCAGTAGCTGAGGTGGCGACGAATATACGGACTACAGTGACTGTAGTATTGTCTGCATGAAACAGGAACTTCCAGGACGAGTGGCAAACAGGGCTTATGCACTGAGCTGCCTTCTGAGAGCCCGTCATCTTTGGCAGGCTCCAATGGCGAGTAGCTTACTTCAGGATGGGGACCGGGACGGGCTGGTTACCACTTTCGCATCAGCACGCTTGACACACTGCGGCGGCCAGCATCTGGCGGCTTACCCTGTGATTCTTTAGCACGTTTGCCGGGAACGGGATCAGCAGCTGAAGCAGCAATGAAGAAAGCCCATACCATCTTCTTGAACCTGAGGCTATTCATGTGTAAGGACTCAACTTTACTCTCAAGATGGCTGCAAGCCCTAGATTCTGGCTCGCACGACTCGCCCAAGGCACGCAGGCCCAAGATTAATGCCAGGAGCCAACTACTCTACAGGACTCTACAGCTTTTACACTTCCTGAACCCTAAACCGACACTTGCCCCCCGGTTCTCTGAGGAGCCGAGCTCTGCAAAGCCTCCTCTGCACCAGGCGCAGACCTGCATCCGAAGTTCAGGGTTTTGGGCTTTGACAGTGGCTCTGCAAGGGCGTTCAAAGAACAAGGGACCCTCATACGGACCCCCAAACTACGACCCCTAAGCAAGGACCGTTCCTTTTCTGATGTCACCAGGCCCTAAGACCAGAAGACTACAAGGAAAGTAAAATCAAATCATTCGCAAGGTAGGAAAGAATCTTAGACTGGCAAGAATAAGGAGCAGTGGACGAATTCCGAGACCCTAAAGCCCCGAACAAACCCTTTCTGCAAAGACTTCTCCGCAAGGCAAGTAGATAGTTGAGAAATTCGCCGGCAAGGTCGCTGGCAGATGCCGCGAGGTTCAGCAAGAGCGGTAACATAGGGGCCTTAAATAGTTGGAAACGAGTTTTGGGGTGTGAATGAACCAGTACACACAACAAAAAAATACAAATTATTCAGACCTCCAGGGCACAGAAGCGCACACTGCAACGAGCGGCTGGTTTTGACGGCTTTTCGGGCATGTGTAGCCCGCCTGTGCGCGAAGGTCAAGCCTTCGCGCTGCAGGACAAACAGGTTCTCTCTGTACTTTCTACAGCATCCTGCCGCCACTTTGGCTCGCCTGCATTGCATAAGGAAATAAAGTGAGCAATTGCTCGGCCACGCATCTGTACAGTCTGTACATGTACACCGACTCTACCATTCCGCAGAAGCCTGGGCGTGGAGCTTAGAAGGCTCAAGGAAAAACCAGGAAGCTTAGTACGCAAAGCTTTCTGAACGAATTGCCGAGGAAGAGAAGCCTGCAGCAGTCCACATGTCTCTGGCAGCAGAGTCGAAACCTGCTGGGCCACATATGAAGGCTTCGATGGTCTCGTGGGGTTGAATGGCCCTGGCTGGCAGGTGATCTGTCAACACCTTTGTCGACAGCCTGCCGGTTTCAACTTGGACGGAGCTGATGAAGTTCTGCCTCAACATCCCCTCCAGCTTCCTCCTCTCCTTCGATGCATCCGGCCCGGTCAGCAGGAGTATGACTCGATAAGTGACGCGCAACTGCACAAGGGTCCTACCAGCCGAGGCCAGCAGCTCCAAGAAAGCCGCTTCCGAGAGCTCACGAACTGAGTAGAAGATGGTGAGAGTCTGAGGACGGGGGCCCGATTCTGCAATCGCGGTAAGAGCCGCCACTGCCGGGGTCAAGCCAATCCCAGCTGTCAAGAACACGGAGTGCCGTGGCATGGCGATCTGGCTGCGCAGCTCGCCGCTGCGGGGGTCAAGTTGTGGGCCAAATTCACCCGAGAAGCCAAGAAAGTGTATGTTGGCTCCCTTCATTTCCTCGCGGCTGAGCTTGTGCAGCCATGTCGATGCCAGGCCGCCAGGCTTCAGCTTCACTGAGATCTGGAAGCGGCCATGGTCTGCAAGCCACCGAGGCGAAGAGGTTACCGTCCAGGTTCGTTCCGGCGCAGCTTCCCCTCCCCTCCCCAGCGCGGGAAGCGCCAGCCGGACGTGCTGCCCGGGCTTCAAGAGAATGGAGCCTGGTTTGGGAAGCGGTGCCAGTTGAAACTCGAAGGTCCGGACATCCCGGGACTCTTGGCGCACCCACTGGAGAACGGCCAAGTACTCCGGCCCCAGTGCTTTTGGCCGGGGATTGTACGGGCTCAGCTCTACCTTCTCATAGACGTGAGGGCTGTATCGCGGGATGGAGCGGAGACTCTTCACCGACATCACCACTAGTCTCAAGGCTTGCGGCTCCTCGCCTAAGACTCTCAGCAGCTCGGCGTCCACGACCTCGGACCTCTCAACCGTGCACACACTTCCGGCAACTTGAACACCATGGCCTGTGGCGTCCCAGTCCACGAACACCAGACTGGCAACCTTCTGCAACTGCACATTGCCGAGGCTCATGTAGAATCCGTTCCCTGTGTAGTCTGGCCAGCAGATTGTACTTCCACCGTGCAGGACACGCACGAAACCTGGGGAGCCACCACGAAGGTTCATGTCAGCTCCATGTTCTGCCGTGCCCGTTCCAAAGTACATGTCATCTGCACTTGTGATGATGGCAGTTTCCAACTTGCCGACCGTGGAAGCCTCCATGGCCGGCTCGGTGGCAAACTCGAGATTCTTGCCCATCTTCCGAACTCTGCGCCGCGTGATGTATTTAGGACAGTTTCCAAAGGCCTGGCGGATCCGGATCGAGAAGTGCCCATTTTTGTGGACCTGTCGGATCACTCCATTGAAGCGATTCCGCCGTCGCGACATGAAGTCGATGGCAACCGCACCGACCATAATCCCTGGCTTCATCATCCCAGCAGTGGCTGCTGCATCCCGAGGGTCAAGGGCGGCAGCGATTTCGATGTGAGTTCCGTCCGAGGTCTCGCAGTCAGCAAAACCCGGTCGCGCGAAGATGAGAGAGGACCAGCTAGCCTTTGTGTCAGGATCGAAGAAGCTGACCATGAAATGCGGCTGCGGGCCGACCATGTCCCTCCACGACTCCGGAATGACTTTGTGGTAGATGTGCGGCCCCATCTCATCAGAAGAGTGGACGGTGCCCTGCTTCTTCTGCAGCACTCGTTCGCCGGCATGCCACGGTTGCTCAAGCTTCAGCAAGCCAAGCGCTCCTGGAAGCCCCATCGGCCAGAAAAATGGGGCTCGATTGCTGCGACTCCTTGAGCAATATGCTGAATACCGAGGCCGCGGCCGGGGTTTCGACTCTCACGCTCGACGACGCGACAGGCAACGAAGCACGCACAGCCAATTACATCTGGTCCGCGAGTGGCACCAGTTATGTGCTACTGCCAGCATCACTCCGCCAGAACAACCCCCAAAATCCTGCAAGCAAAGAGCAAAATCATTACTCAGCGGCGCCTGGATGGTGAAGCCTGCGCATGGCAAACGGGAACTTGACGGACTCTCAACTCTTCACACGGGGCACTGCAGGTTCGAAGATCGCACTCTTGCAGCACATGGGATCGATTCAAGTCCTTATCTGTATTGTGCGATGATACAATAACAGTATAGCATCAGGACTTACTTATGGCTCTAAGCCTACATTCTACATCAGTTACATCAGTATCAGATCAGTCCCTTTCTACTACCTCTCTCTCTCTCTCTCGCGCTCTCGAGGCTCGGGTAAAGCCAGTGCTACAAACATCCGCTCAGTAGTATTCGCCACATCACTCCGGATTCCCGAGCTGGAGCTTAGCAACCCACTTCGCAGGAGATGCACTGTACTCTGGAATGATACCCCGTTCCTACAGCTGCGTAGTAGAGCAAGAGAAAGAGTCCCGTCCCAGCAAACAAGCGCACGCCGTACTACCCATCTAAGTGTCTCTCTGTCTATCTAAGTATCTGTCTATCTATCTATCTATCTGTGCATCCATAAGTGGCTATTACCTGTCTGTTTGTCTATCTGTCTGTGTACTTATCTACGTACCAGTCAATCTAGCCAGCTAGCTGTCTGGCTTTCTGTCGTTCTACCTGTTCACCTATCTATCGGTGTGCAAATGTGTTGTAAACCTATGCTATGCATGTAGGTATATGGGTATGCATGAAATGTAACGAAATGCAGCGTCATGCAGTAATGCAGCGCAATGCAATGTGATGTGGTGTACCTGACACGAGATGATGTAATGTGATGTGGTGTAATGTCATGTCATGCCATGCGAATACCTGACGGTGTGTAGCATGTGTGAATTGTATCAGTTGTCTTGTATGTATTGTATTGTGTTATGTTGTGCTGTGCATCGTATTGTAAATTGCCGTATGCTGGTGTGGCGTCCGCAGGCGTCCGTGGTCCGATGCTGCACCTTGGCACGCACCTTCGCCGGTGTCGCAGAGGAGCGGCCTTCCTGCCACGCAGACACGCTGCTTCTACCATGGCTCTGCCAGCAAAGTTGAAGACAGTGACACCGAAGCAAAACCACTGAATTTGTCGGCCCCCCCGGCACATTTTCTGAGTGCGACTAAGGCAACATTGTGCCTTTGTCTGGACTGCATGGGCTCATAGAACCCTGAGAGTCCTCCTCTGGGATGGGAGGCATACCTGAAAAGGCCTCGAAACATGCCTCCCTTTCTGGAGCTTCTGCAGCCGTCAACTCCTCCACCAGTAGTTTCAGGGTGGCCACGGCCTCGGCCAGGCGCTCGCGCTTGGCCTCGGGCGTGGCTTTCGGAGGGAGCCCGAGCAGCTCCAGCAGAGGACGGGGCCGCTGGCGAAGCAGCTCTGCCTCATGGATTTCCAGACCCAGGATCTCCTGCTCGCCGGGCCCGGCTTAGGGCTTATGGGGATTAGGGTCTTAGGGTGTTGGTAGCACAAGAATGGGAAAGTCAGTGTTGCGACTTCTGGGACATGGCCGGATCGCGAGCGCGCCGGCGCGGTTTGCAAAGCCCCGGGAAAAGGCGACATTGTCTCGTATCGTGGATCACATGTTCTTTCTCTGGACTGTGTGGATTGCTCTTGGGGAGATGGTCCTGCTGTACTTCTCCCCTTTCTGCGAGTCCTTTGATGGTCCTGTTCATGTTCACGCTGTCAAGCATCTGTTTTTTGCTGCTTCTGAACATGGTTAACAAAATAAATACGGTCCTTCCTGTACGCCCTCATGCGATCGAGATCAGCCTAGAGTCCTAGAGGTGGACGACACGAACATGTTGCTTCCATCTTCTCTTCAGAGTGATGTCGAATGATGTCGACCAGACCTCGCTGGACTGCTACAAGTTGCGGTTGCGCTACTGTGCTGCCCCTCTGCCAAAGACCGCCGAAGTTAACGGTGTCAGACGAGCTTGCGTATGTGTGTGCGGGCCACTCTGTTTCTGGATAGCTAAGCACATACAACAAAGGCAGGAGGGCAGAAGGTAGAGAAGCAGAAGCCACACAGCGAGATGTCACCAAATGCCGAGGTCAGATCCCATGGAGCCACCAGCAGCCCAACAGCCCAAACAGGCTCAGACAAACCAAGAGAACACCAAGAAGACCCAAAAACAACAAGCATCCCAGGCTTTCAGCCAGCTCTCCTGCTGGCGCCGCGTCTCTGCAAGCTCGAGGCGAGCACAGTGCAGCTCTTCGGCGGCTCGCTGTTCTGTCGCCCGCTCGGAAGCGCGGAGGCGCTGGATTTCGACGTCCCGCTCCGCCAGCTCGGCCCGCAGGACCTCGCACTTCGCCCGCTCTCGGACGCACTGCTCGATCTGCTCGATGCTCTCCTTGGCTGCCATCCGTGGGCTCATCTTCGGAGGCGGGGAGCCGGCTGCAGCTTGGATAGCTTGCGAGGCTTGCGTGGCTTGCGTGGCTTGGGCTTGGACCGCCGGGCGTTTTTCCGCAAGCCGGAGCTGCTCCTCCCGGTCGTGCAGCATCAGCGCCATCTTCTCCAAGGCCCGTCGGCTCTCGTTCAGCTCGGTCTGGAGCTCCAGCTCCTTCTTGGACTCCGTGTGTCTCTCCCTCGAAACTGGCTCTTGTTCGGGCAGCCGGGACGAAGAGCTGCTGTGGCTTGGAGCTGGGCTGCCCGCACCGCACAGTTGCTGTTTGCCCAGTGTGCACTCCTTCAACAGCGCTTGCAGCAGTTCGGCACCACTCATCCCGGGAGGGTCTGGCGTGCTTGCCACGACCTTCCGCTCTTCAGCACTCAAGCTGCCAGGCCTCCTCACAAGCATGCGAGATCGTGGTTTGGGCTCGTCCGGCTCTTCGCGCTCTTCGAGGCGAGCAGGTGCTGTTGCTGCCAAGGCATCCCTGTACTGAACCGGCCGCCAGTCGTGCTCCCGATACCGCAGTAGCTGCTGAGTCATCCTGGCCACATTCCTGGCAAAGGCATCCTTTGCGTCGGCAACAGAGTCGGAGCAGGCGGTGTAATGTCCCACATGGAAACTGTCTTTGTGTGACTGGCTAGCTCTTCCAGCCATGCATCGAACAAGCCGTGTCACCCGGCCACTCGGCTCGATTCTGCTGACGGGTGCGATTCTAAACTCATCTGGTGATTGTTGCTAGAGGTTGGCTTATGTTGGGGCTGTGTGCTACCTTTCGCTTTTACTTCTCCCGTGTCCCTGGACCATACGGTGGAGGCTTGAGGCCCAAGGCTGCAGCGTGTAAGATGCAGAAGCTGGTTCAGGGTCTGGGGGTTCAGGCGCTTTAGGGTTAAGAGCCCGCTAAACCCGAAACCCTTATTTTGGAGAGCCCCCGGCACAAGCAGCACAAGCACCCCTGTTGTGTGATACACAGTTCATCAAAGTCCCATAGTCGCCAAGATCTGAGTAGGGCGTCGTTCCTCGTGGCTTATCGACCAGTTGCCATGTTGTGCGGTTACTGCGAGAAAAATTGTTCACCGCAGCCACTACGAATAAAAATGTAATTAATAACAGCAATCAGTAATCATCATCATCGTCGTCGTCATCATCACCATCATCGCCCCCATCATCACCATCATCATCATCATCATCATCAAAATCACGTTAACACCAATACTAAACTTAGGCGAGTATTAACGGTTGGTTAACATTAATAGCAATAGCAAAATCAAGAACTATAGTAACACCTGTAACAACAACATTCACAGCATTAAACAAAACGACATTCACCGTGTTTAAAAAACAACAATCATAACAACACCACCAACAACAAGAAGAAGAAGAAGAGCAACAGCAACAACAACGCCAACAACAATGATGCCAGGGCCAATGCCAACGGCAAAAACAACCGCAACCGCAGCCGCAACAGCAATAGCAACAACAAGTCACAACATCATCAACAGCAACAACAACGACGACAACGACAACGAGCAACGACAACAATGCCAATGCCAACGCCAATGGCAACGAAAACCGCAACCGCAGCCGCAACAGCAGCAGAAGCAGCAGCGACAGCAACAGCAACAACAACCACCACCACCACCACCACCACAACAACAACAACAACAACGACGACGACTACTGCTCCTGCTCCTGCTCCTGCTCCTGCTCCTGCTCCTGCTCCTGCTCCTGCTCCTGCTCCTGCT